CTTTGTCTGTGTGTGTGTGTATTATATATATATATATATATACCCCTTGCTACGTGTACTGCGTTAGGCTAACTGACATTGTTGCTCTTTTGTTAGTTTTGATTGCTTCTATTGTCCTCATTTGTAAGTTGCTTTGGATAAAATGTAAATGTAATGTAAATATCACCTCCTTAAGTTGTCATTTAGAAGAACAGTACATCCAAGAATTTGCTGAAAATGTCCTTTTGGACTTGTGGATTATTGTGATGTTTTTATCAGAATGTTTGGACTCTCATTCTGACGGCACCCATTCACTGCAGAGCATCCATTGCTGAGACAGTGATGCAATGCTACATTTCTACAAATCTGACGAAGAAACAAACTCATCCTAATCTTGGATTGTCTGTGGTTGAGCACATTTTCAGCAGATTTGCATTTTTAGATTAACTATTCCTTTATTATTAAAGAAAGAGAAAAATGAAACCAAAAAGTTGATCATGACATGATTTTACTCGTGGTGAACTGATGTGATGGTGTAATCATATCAGACTGATGTCAGAGCTGAATGTGAGTTTTTTCCATGCAAAAAGTCGTGTTTGTGAAGAGATTCCAATTCAGGGAATAATATGCTGACTTTTTATGCTGTGAATTTCCTTGTTTGTGCTTTATGAACATGCAGAAACACGCTGAGGCAGGCTGTAGCAGCAGGCATAAACAGCCTGTGTAATAACATGAGTCTCAAAGATCAAATCAGTCATACAATCCTGAAATGAAACGATCACTGCAGTAAGAACACTAGAAAGGGCTCAAGTGCAGTGTGACTTACGCTGGTGACCTTGCGATAGATCTGAGCGGCGTTCTGGCACTCTGAATATGGGTATTCAGATGTGGCCATCTCCAGCATGCACATGCCAAACGCGTAGACGTCCACGGACTCATCGTAGTGCTCCTCATACATCTCTGGGGCCATGAACTCCGGCGTACCTTAAGGATATGATCACACAAACAAATGACAGCATGCAAAGATGTTCTGACACAGAGAAACACACACTCTGCTTTAATAGGGCTCAATTAAGCTACATCTTACTTCTGGAATTAAATGAATGACAAAATGTTGAAGGCAGTCTTGGAATCTAAGGATGTTTTTGCATCTGCACTGATATTGGGGGAAATCTGTGAAAGGGGTTTGAATGTGGTAAAATGAGCATTGGTATCTGAAAGCAAAGTCAAATGAACCAGAATAATTAATAAAGGAACACTGTACACTACTAGTCAAAAGTTTTTGAACAGTAAGATTTTTTATGTTTTTTAAAGAAGGCTGCATTTATTTGATCCAAAGCACAGCACAAACAGTAACATTTTGAAATATTTTTTTACTATTTAAAATAACAGTTTTTTATTTGAATATAATATATTAAAATGTAGTTTATTCCTGTGATTTCAAAGCTGAATTTTCAGCATCATTACTCCAGTCACATGATCCTTCAGAAACCCTTCTAATATTCTGATTTGCTGCTCAAAAATATGTATTATTATTATTATTATGTTGAAAACAGCAAAAAAATTTTCAAGTTTCTTTGATGAATAGAATGTTCAGAAGAATAGCATTTATCTGAAATAGAAATCTTTTGTAACATTATAAATGTCTTTATCATCACTTTTGATCAATTTAAAGCATACTTCCTAAATAAAAGTATTCACTTCTATAAATTCTTTTTTTTATAGAATAAAAAATTCTATACATTTTTAGAATCTGATTCAGAATGATTTCTGAAGATCATGTGACACTGAAGACTGGAGTAATGATGCTGAAAATTCAGCTTTGATCACAGAAATAAATTACATTTTAACAGATATTCACATAGAAAAGGGTTATATTAAATAGTAAAAATATTTCACAATGTTACTGCTTTTGCAGTATTTTGGATCAAATAAATGCAGGCTTGGTGAGCAGAAGAGACTTCTTTAAAAAACATAAAAAATCTTACTGTTGAAAAACGTTTGACTGGTAGTGTATGTTAATCCAGAAAAGCTGTATATGAGAGGACTGCTGTCTCACCGATCACACTCTTGGCAAAGGAGGCTCTTTTGAGCGTGGCCAGACCCAGGTCTCCGATCTTCACGCTGCCCGTGGGCCCCGTGATGAAGATGTTGTCACACTTCAGGTCCCGGTGGATGATGGGAGGAGTGCGTGTGTGAAGGAAGTGCAGGCCTTTGAGGATCTGACGACACCAGCTGCGCAACACTTTGGGTTTCATCACCTTGAAGCGCTTCAGATACCTGGAGAAAACAAAACACATTACTGCTATTTTGCATAAACCTCAACTGCAAACACTTCATGTGTGTGTAACAGTGGCGACTCCAGAACTCTCCCTCTCAAAGAAGCTGTCACATGACTTTATATGAAGTGTCTTTAACTACATGGCAGGTCATTCCTCATATCTGATAAAAGATCAGGATCTTATTGCCCTGAAATGCTGAACAATATATTTGAAAGCTGTCTGTCAGCAACAACCTCATCTGAATTCAACATTCTTACAAGGTAAAAAAATAAATAAATAATAATTTGAAACATTTTACAGCATTTAAAAATCACAACATTTTCAATTTGATTTTGATTGATTTCTATTTTCTCTTTTTCTTCCACATTGAGTATATAAGTAATAATTCTCTGTAATGTATTCTTTCAGTTATTAAATTTAATTTAACAATTAAAATAAAGGTTTTTAGTGTGTCCCTCAAGTTACTACTCACTGTGTTATTTTGACCACTGTACCTTTAAATGGATGCTCATAAATCACAAATCATTAAATGATGAAGTTGGCATCATTTCCTTGGAGAGAAACAACTTGTAAGTTGTGAGTTGAGTGAGGCTTGAGCATTTTTAAGCTTCTATTTCACAGTTTTTGTTTCATAAACGCCTGAGCTCTTGCCTATCATGATTTCATAAAAAGCACCAAACTTTGAACTGCTGCTTTCCTGCCACACTGGACTGCAGCTCAGACTGTGACTCTATTGAGGTCCGTGAGAGCGCTCCTCACGTTTTGAGCGTGCCTGACGTCATGAGCTCTGTGACCAGCACGATGCACTTCTTCCCCTTCAGCGGAGACTCCCAGAAATCATAGAAGCGCACGATGTTTGGGTGCTGGAGACCCTTCAACATCTCAGCCTCCTCTTTAAAGCGCTGCCTCTCCACCTTCGTCAGCTTGCGGTCCTGAAACACACACAACCAATGAAAACAATTCATCTGACACTCTGAGGAATGAGACCCGGATGCATGAACTCAAATCAAACCACTGGAAAATACTTTCTTCAGGATCACTATAAGCTTGATATTAATCACAGCGAATAAATCAGCTCGGTGAGGAACAGACAGAAAGACCTCATGAGAAATTGAATTCAGAAATATCTTCTATATTGAGTCTCTCTTTTCTTCAAGCAAGAGAGAGATATACCTCCCCCATCCTGCAGTGAGATATGTGAGCCTGGAGCACAAAAGCAGTCATAAGTCGCTGGGGTATAATTGTAGCAATAGCCAACATTGTATGGGTCAAAATTATACATTTTTCTTTTATGCCAAAAATCATTAGGATATTAAATAAAGATCATGTTCCATGAAGATATTTTGTAAATTTCCAACCGTAAATATATCAAAACTTAATTTTTGATTAGTAATATGCATTGCTAAGAACTTCATTTGAACAACTTTAAAGGTGATTTTCTCAATATTTAGATTTTTTTTGCACCCTCAGATTCCAGATTTTCAAATAGTTGTATCTCACCAAATATTGTTCTATCCTAACAAACCAAAACCGTACATCAATGGAAAGCTTATTTATTCAGCTCAATTTCAGAAAACTGACACGTATGACTGGTTTTGTGCTCCAGGGTCACATATAATCATACAGTGACTCTCAATTCCTCATGGAGAACATCAAGTCCCACACTGCATTTATACTCTGCTTCACTCACAAATGTGTCTCATTACAGAAGTCAATATGTTGTGAACACCGAGTATATCTGAAAGCATAAGTGCCATTTTTAGGCCTGATGCATGTGCACAAGGAAATCTACTTGTGCATAGTGAGAGGCTTTTCTCATGCATTATGCAGCGCTTGCTTCAGTGTCTGTCCTGCATGCTCCACCTCTGCTCCATCTGCATCACCTCACGCTCACAGTGCAGCTCTGCCCATGAATGTTTCAAACACACTGTTTAAACGCTTGGAATTAATGTTGATGAAAAAGGCTGCATTTATTTGATCAAAAATACAGTAAAAACTGTAACAGTGATATACTATTAGAATTTTAAATTGTTGGACCTACTCTGTCTCAAGTGTTTTTAACTACATTGTATTTACATTAAATGCACTTCTTCTTTCTTTTTTACATCGTATTTTTATTTACAAATGCATTAATACCCTAATATAAAGTGTGATCATACTGTTTTCTATGTCAGAATATTGTAAAATGATTGCTGTGATGCAGCGCTGAATTTTCAGCATCATTACTCCAGTCTTCAGCGTCACATGATTCTTATATTTTAAATACTTCTCAATAGTACTGTATTTTTAATTAAATGAGTGCAGCCTGAGTGAGCATTAGAGGTATGAAGCTACCTGGTGCAGGTGCAGCATGTGCATTTTTCAGTGTCTACTGCATTTCGATATTTTTTGAAAAACAAAACAAAAACAACTAGCCAAGTCAATTTAGTCCATGATGTGAACATAGCTTGGGTCTCTCTTTATGAAAACACCAGCACATCTGTACACAACATATGACTCAGGGCTAGGGGTTTGTGAGCAAGCACAAATGAATATGCTTTACCCACTGCTTCTCTCATACTCTACACACATCAATGCTGCTGACAAACACAGTTCAAAGAATATGCTGTTTCTTCGGGAAGCTTTATTTATTTGATTTCATTTTAAAATGGGTGTAGAAAATAAAAGCATCAGCTAAACCCCACATTGTCACATCCTGCTGTTCCTCAGCCGAGTGATTCAGTGTTTTCAGACAGACAGGTCTAAAGATGGGCTGTTAAACTCACAGGAATGAATCAATACGCTTCTGTTCTAGCCCTGCACAGCTCTATTAGCGTTTATTGATAGAGCTATAATATGTGCAGACATACTCACAGTTGAGCGTACACAGAGGAAATCTGCGCATGTTTCCAGTCCCCAAACGTTACATCACAAAAACTGCGGCTGCGTGAGTGTGTTCACACTTCATGAATAAATAACTGCACTCACACATACAGTACAGTGAGACGGCCTTTGTTTAGTGAGGACTGACAGAATGACACTCAACTGTAGATTACAGCATAAGCTATGAGAGCCCGTGCATTACACTGATTTTACAGTCTGCAGCATCAATATTAGAAAACAATAAAGGGTTGCATTTATGAAAGCAGATTAAACAATAGTACTCTGCCCAGTGCATTGATCAAACCTGAATGCACAATAGAGACCCCACGAAACAGCTTGACAAGCAGTTTCCTTTCTTATTATTTCCAAACAGGAAGTACTGAACTGGGACGCACTGAAGGGCTGTTTAATTTATACACTAAAGTGAATAGGCTTTAGATGGCTGATTTGTCAGTGGCAGACGCTCTTAAAGAGGCAGTTCACCACCAAACCTGACTTTCTTTTTTTTCTGTGGAACACAAAAGATCACATTTTCTTTTCCCAGAGAAGATTTTAATGTGAATGAATGAAATGAATATCCACCCTATGCATTTTTTATTGAGCATATTGTGAACATTTCAACCGTGCAAGTTTAATTTTAAATTACTAAATGATAATGTGAATACTAATGTACAAAACGTGTTTCACACAAATACAGAACACTAAAATAATGCAATAAATATGAATTTAACAACATTCCCCTTCAGGAACTCGAGCTGCGTCGGAACGCTTTGGGAACGAGTATGCCCACGCGGCCAGATTTACCAATCTCTGCCTAATGTGGAAGAGCACAGCTAAGGCGAGAGAAAGGAGCCAGGAGTGGCGCAGAATGCATAAGCTTCTCTGGCCAGAGGCCTCAGCCTCAGCGCACCGTGGAGGAAACGTGTAACTAGGGGGTGTCTGCCCACTGACTGGCCACCGACACGTAGACTTTCAAGGTGGAGTGGGTCAACCCTGCAGAGAAACGGGCCTGCAGGAACTCCGGCACTGTACCAACTGGCCAGTAAACTGGGTCGAGCTGGTGGTCTCCGCACCAAGAAGTGAAAGATTCCGCTTCAGGGCATACAGTTTCCTCGTAGAGGGAGCTCTGGATTGGAGAATGGTCTCAACAACCTCGGTTGAGAGACAGGAAGCTGCGAGTTGTGCCCCCCCCCCAGGGGCCACACCCACGCTTCCACAGCGCCGGGCGGGGGTGAAGATAGTACCCACCGCCTGTGAGAGGAGATCCCTCCTGATGGAAATCTCCCATGGAGAGCCGTCGAGAAGGGAAATCAGGTCCGAGAACCATACTCGGACCGGCCAGAACGGGGATACCAAGAGTAGACGGACCCTGTCCCGGCAAACTCTCTCCAGAACTCCCGGGAGCAGAATCTACAGTGTGCAGGACCCACTGAGACACATTTGGCAGAAGTTTCCACGCTGGCAAAAAGGTCTACTAAGGGAATCAGACTCTCGAGACTGAGATAATGAATAATGAGATCTCTGGTGTAATCAGCGCGGCTAGGTCGGTGCCCTGAAGCGGCGAGCCGGCAGGAGACGGTCGAACTAGCTGAAGTCGGCCGAACAAGCTGAAGTCTCCTATTGAAAATGACGGTCCTCAGACCCGCGTCATCTCCTAGGAAGACTAGACTGATAGAACCAGAGCCTGCTCGGGGCAGGATCCAATGACTCCCAGACCGCCAGGTGACCTAATAAGGGAACCAGTCTCTCGAGACTGGCCTCTGGTGCCCTGAAGCGGCGGACCAGCAGGGAACGGCCGAACTAGTTGCACTAGAAACCTCCCAAGAGGTAGCGAACCTCTTAGTACCGCTACGTTTCCGGGCGGTGACTGAGAGAAGCGCTCGTCGAAGACCGCTGCGCCCTGAAGCACCGTAGGTGGCAGGGTTGGCAGATCGATCTCCTGAGAGCACTGAGGAGAGACGGCCACCGTATAATGAGGTGTACACCGCTCTTCCTCAGAGGGGGCCGGCCCTCAGAAGTTCTGGGCCTTAGGCGTCAGGACGTTTCAGCTGAAGACTATCCAGTGGGAATGACGGTCCGCAGATCC